GTTTGGCAAAAAAATCCTAGAATAAGTACTTGTTTTGAAAATAACCAAAGAATGGTTGTCTTCTTTTAAGTGCCTATTGAATAAGCCAGCACTTTATTTTTTTTTTTTTTTTGAAAATGCCTTTCAACCAACGATATTTTGACTTGAACTATTCCTGGAGATGGGAATTGAGGTGACAAATCAACACGAGCCCTTCAATCAGAGAACCACTCTTTTCTTGGAGCAAATTTCAGTACAGTGACAACGATAAGATAAAGCCTGCTTGAAATTTTCATCAAATTTCAAGGGATATGAATATTCCTAGATGAGAAATACATGACGTAATGGACATTTGAGAATGATGTGGACAGAGAAAGAAGCCCTAATTTCTGTGCGGGCATTAAAGCCCACAGAGACGATCCTCACTCTTAACCACAAGAATATGAATTACATGTTTGTGGATATTTTATATGTTCGACAATAGCCCTCAGGCTCGTTCCATTCCACTACGGGGTAAATAAGGAAGCGTCAAACAATGAGGAAGAGGTTATTACAAAGAGAAACTCTCAACAATACAATAATGATACATTGAGGTTAACAAACCAGCTCTCAGAGAGAAACTTGGCGAACTTGTGACCTGCGCTATTGGTTTATTTGTGGACATTTTATTTAGGGTTAATTACAAAGACTTGCCCTGTATTATGGGGTCTGTGACAAAGACCCCCAATACTTTGTTTTGTGATAAAGATCCCTCCCCCCGTAGTATGACCGTGAGACAAAAACTCCCCTTTAATATGTTATTTGCCGAAAATACGCTCTACAAGTCGAATTAACATTTTTCGAATTAACATTTTCAAATTGGCGAAAATAGACATCCACCGAAAACCAGCATGTAAAATACTGCCTCCGAAACCCCTCGTGTAATCCATCCCAGTGTCGGTTCTCTATTGGAGATCGCACCAATGCCACACCGAATGTAGACGCCGAAGAAGAAAATCTATTTTCGTCGTTGTGGAAGAAGAAGATCAATTTGCCGGAGAAGGCTCTTTTCACTGTCGCAGGGGAGCAATCAATACGGTCACTGTCATCACTCACCGTAGCCCGTAGACGAAGCAACACTATGTGGGGCCCAACCCATAGCCAAAGCACTATCATCACCGTAGGTCCGTGTGGGTAGCACTATGCTAATCTGCCTCCATCTTCTATCAGCAGCCTGCAATCTGCGTCCGCCTCTCCCAGACCAGAAGTCAAGTCAGAGAGAGGATTCCTTTTCACCCAATAACTAACCGTTAGAGATGAGTACGTGTCACTCAGCTACGATACGATGCCCATCCCCATCTAGTCGAATTCCTTCGGATCCTCGCCTTTTGAACAATCCGAAGCTTCTCGGAGATGCTCATTTGAGTAATGGTAGCTTGCGTCTCACTCGTGATTTGTCCGTCCCTAATTCCGGCACTGGGAGGATCTTTTATAGTAAGCCCATCAGGTTCCGCTAGCCGGGGACTCCTCCGGCTTCTTTCTCGACTTTTCTCTCCTTCTCGATCACTAATCTCAACCCATCTTCCATCGGTGGAGGACTCGCTTTTCTAAACTCGTCAGATGACGAGACGATGGGCAACAATGGTGGGTTCCTTGGCCTGGTTGGAAGAAATGCGATGTCTGGATTCATTGTGGTTGAACTCGACACATTAATGGACGTAGAATTCAGGGACATTAATGGGAACCATGTGGATTTGGATTTGAACGGCTTGCTTTCTACTCAAGTGGGTGATCTGGGTGCAGTTAATGTGGAGCTAAAAAGCGGGGATCTCGTGAATGCTTGGATCGATTATGATGGCCCGACTCGATCGTTTAATATCTCTGTTTCTCCGGCCAACCGATCCGCTTCTGTCATTCAATCTCGACCTGGAACGGTTCGTCAACGATTTCATGTACGTGGGTTTCTCTGGTTCGACTCAAGGGAGTACAGAGATTCACAGCATTGAACAGTGGAGTTTTAGTTCTTCATTTGGCTGAGCTTCATCTTCTGTCTCCTCGTTCCCATCCTCTGTAACGGCTAACGCATCAAATTCGGCAACTCCTTCCTCAACAAGTCATCCTGCCATAACCAGCTCTGTAAGCAAAGACCCGGCGCGGTGGCGGGGGTTATAACAGCTGGAGTTTTTTTTCTGGCCATTTTTGCCAGTATTCTCATTTAACTCAAACGAGGTTAAAATTGTCCGAAAATAAATTGTAACAGCGGATTTTGGACGGAAGGCGAAGGGGGTCTTTGTCTCATGGTCATATATCATATAAGGAGTCTTTATCGCAAAAGTATAGGGGGTTTTTGTCACAGACCGCATAGTACAGGTGAGTATTTATAATTTATTTATTGAAAACCAAGCCCGATGTATTGAGACAAAAAAAAAAAACACATGCTTATGAGTGGCATTCATTTCCAATTGCCTAATTTGATCATTTGGGAGAATGAAATTTGCACCCCTCCCCCATTACAAAAAAATAAATTAAGACTAAAAAAAGTACTTTCTTGCTATTTCAATTTGATCATGGCCCATCATAAAACCTTATCCCACCTATATAGGGTTGGCTATCATAAGAATTCGGCAAAAATTTGAGTACCAACTGCTAACCTGACGCAACCCTCCTTTATATCTGGGCTTAGGACTGGCTTCATAATTTTAAAAAACAGACTCGGAAACAGAACTATTTTGGCCACCAGCCAGTTTTCGAGTCAACAATCCGACCATCCGGTTTGAACAAATGGCCCATTATGACAAAAAAATTAAAAATAAAAAATAGTCAAAACCGCTGAACAGGTCAACGGGCCATTGACATTTTCAACAATTTTTTGCCAGAGACCGGGGGTTTAGAGTAAAAAAAACTAGTTGCCTGAAGGATTCCCAGGCCAAACGATCCAACCATCCAGGTCAAAGGCAGTTCAAAAACCATGGCTGGCTTCATCTTAACATGTTACATGTAATTGTATAATTTAAGCACAAAACTTTCCCAGCGGCCTAAGCTAACGCTTTCGTTGCTTCAGAGTTCACCCCAATTACTCGAATTGTTTGTAAAACGACTTAAACATTGCTTTAAGTTTAAGCCTTCAACTTAAATTTTCGTTCCATTTGAAGTTTTGAACGTACCAAGAATTCATGTTGATGCTGGAACATTTCACCTACGTATATAAATTCCGCCCAAAAACAATTTAAAGAATCGTTGAAGGTTGAACTGGTCCCCCCATTCTAAACAAATAACAAAGGGTTGGTATGCTTTTGATGTCAGGTCTACTAGGCGTTGATAACATTTATATTTATAGTTAATTCAGGGTCAAAATTATAAGCAGCATCCGAGGGCCAGCAGACTAAGACCATTTCTTAAAGCAAGCCAGAACCAAAACTAAGACAGACTTCGAAGAAAACGAAAAAAATAAACTCAAAACCTCCCCGGATCCACACGCATAAGAAAAAGTCAAGGCAACCTTTAATGTAACCATATTCAACCCTCTTATTTTGAGAACTCCATCACGTTCCCACGGTCCCACTTGCCTTGAAAGACCATGACCTTCACTCCTTTGCCTTGATGACGCTTTTAATTCCTTTTATATTGCATATAATGATGGAAAACCGACTGGTTTTATAGGCGTTTATGATCAGGTAGAGCTTCCTAAGATCAGTTGCTGTTGGATCTTTCTAATTTAAACTTGAAAAGATAAGAAAAACAAACTACAGTGGAGCTTTCTACAAATTTCCCTACCTTTATTTAAACCAAACACAAAAGGAAATCATACAAGAAGATTGATGTCTTTTGTTTGATTATTGTAAGCCATCACTGTAGACTTTTTAGTAGGAATTGAATATCATGTTCATTTTTTAGGTTAACACAGGGAAGGTGTTCGAGTTTTTGAGTGGCCACTTTGTGAAAAAAAAAAATTCCCAAAAAGGTTAAATCCATATGCAGTCTTACCTACCCCTCCCATTCTCCCAAGACCCCCGATAGCCGAGAACATCATTGGGTAATATAACTCTAACATACATATTTTTCTCATATCGATCTTTTTGGTATTTATATTTTTCTTATATCCCCCCCCCCCTAAAGGCCCTCTCCATAGGTCTTTCCTCAACAAGACATAACCACCAATTATCACGAGTAGCTCCAATCCATCAACCAATACAGTGATCATGCTTTTACAACAGATTTTCCCTCGTCGGCTCACAATTGGTGACTAAAATTATATTTAGGCTGGCATTTGGCATTCCTTATAAGGACTTATCTCCTTTTTTGCTGTTGAAATGCTCCTATGAACACCAAGTTTTTAACTGCACAAATGAGGTCTGTTCATAAGAAGACCCAACCCAACCAAACCGACCAACCCGGACCGACCCAACCCGAGTCGGCCGGGTTTTCTTCAGCACCGGTCAGCTTCGGGTTATAAAAAAATCATAAACCGATGATTCGGTTTGGTTTTGGTTTTCATGTGTGAAAACCGAAACCAACCCGAACCAAACCGACTTAGTAGTTAGTTCCTACTTAGTAGTTACAACTTACTTAATTCCTACTTAACTAAGTTGTCTCTATCCTAGTTACAACCTACTTAACTAAGTTGTCTCTCAAACTCTACTCCCTCCACAACTGGATCCATGGATGGGTCACAAAACATTAAGGAAATGCGGGTTTCCTTATTCATCAAAAAAATGCTGGTTTCCTTTGGGAATGTAGAGACAGAAATGAACACGTGAACAGCAATTAAGTCACCACTAAGTAGAGTCGAAATCGACTCAAACCAATCAGGTCGGTTTTGCTTAACACAGGGTCGGTTTCAGTTTCAATTTCAGGTGACCCGATCAGGTCGGGTCGGTTGAAAAAATATCAGTAAACCGACCCAACCCGACCCGTGAACAGCCTTAGAGGTAAGTACTTAAAATAAGGAATGCCAAATGCAGCCTTAACCAAATAATAGTGAATAAATTCCATGCTACCTAATTTCAATCCATTAAACTGGAGATGGATATGGTTTTGTCATGTACTTTAATTTGCCTATCAGCTCATCATTAGTAACTCCAACATAGTATTGAAAAGATGATTTTCCTTTGACACTTTTCTTCATTTATCTTCAACTTTTTCATGTGTCTAACGTTTGTCCACACTAGACCAAATTATTCAAAAATACTTAATCAGCCACCTTCTCTGCAATATTTTTGAGCCAAAATGATTACATACCTTCCACGGAACCTGTACGCTAAATGGATGGAAAATTATGAACTTCATTTCTCCAGACACTCGTTGCTTTCCATCAGTTGTGTCCTGCAAAAAATGCATAGATCAGTAAGATAACCAGTTTGCAATTTCACTTGATATGTGATTAAATTTTGTGTATCTTATGAATAAGGAATATCTGCTACAAAAAAAAAAAAGAACATCTGCTACAACATTCCAACCGATGCTGTGGGAGAAAAAATCTTGGAATGTTCGCTATTTTATTTTCTTTATTTTCTCTATTTTTTGTTTATTAATTTTTCTCTGGAGAAGCCAAGGAGGGGAAGAATGAGGTTTGCACCATTAAGGTCAGGATGATCACATGATTCCAGGAGTCAGTTCACTTGCAAATAATTGGAACAGTCAAAACAAGTGGCTGATGTCAAATGCAGTTAGATGTTTAATGCTGACTGCTGAGGGGATGGTCCATCAAATTGTTGTCTCAATGATGGAGTGGTAAAAACCAGTGTTTAGAAAACTGGACCGGACCATCTGGTCGAACTGGTTGGACCATGACCCAGGACTCTAGCCAGTTCGGTCACACCCCAATAACCGGACTTGCTCAAGACCCAGTGAAAACTGGCTGACCGGCCAGTTTAACCAGAAAACTGGTGAACCGGTCCCGGTTTCATGAAACTGCCCGGGTCCATACATAAGTGAAATTTTAAAATGTAATTAACAAGACTTGACCCAAGACCTCTTATTTTCACATATTACTTAATTACCACTAATCCACCTCTTATGTTAATAAACGACTCTTCATTGTACATATTTCATTATTATGCACGTATTTTAAAGAAAATGCAAATTAAAAGGCTTGAACCCTAGTCATTAGTTTTAAAAATTAAGAAGCTTATCATTCCATCCACCATATTTAAGTACATTAAAAGTTGTAAAATATATTATATATAGTATTTATATGACCCACAGTACATATAATGCTTATGCCACATCATCACGGTTTGACCTCTGGTTCAACCCCAGTTGAACCTCTGACCCATGAACCTCTCCCTTCTCTGGTTCTATGCCCGGTCTGGTTCTCTGAACATGGTAAAAACAATGCTCCAAATACTATCCAGATTGACCTGTTACACTTATAACTGAGTATCATAAAACTCATTTAAAGGGTAAATGACTAAGAAGTAGTGAACAATGCCTATATATCAAACTATCAATTAAAAACATAAAAATTAAAAATGAATAAAAGTTCTAGAAAATTTTATTAAAAAATAATACATAACAATACACAAGAAAACTAGATAAAAGGTACATTTATTGGTGTTCTTCACATTATCCATTCATGGCCCCTCAACATTCCTGTGCTCAATACAGAATATTATTAAACATGGAAAGCCTTGTTATGTAGATGGTAACAAATTACCACATTGAAGTATGATTGATACCGAGCCCATTGCAAGTAAGTATCATTCCTTTAAATCTAGTAAGATATTCCTGTATTCAAAGGGTAAACAATTCAAATCGTCAGTGACATTGTAATAATGCCATAGCTTAAAGCAACTTAATCTTAATGGGTACCATGTCCTAAAAGGTAACATATATAGATATTTCTAGTAATGATTATAAAATGACAGTGCCAACTGGCTTAGTTACTAGGATTTCTGTCTGGTTATAGCAGAGACTTGGGATCAAATCCCACTGTCACCAGGGTTGGGGGAGGGGGGCTATGGGTAGGGCAACAGGCTACCTGATGTAGGACCAGCTCAGTTCTAATCCTTAGAGAATGTTGAATAGTCTTCTTGATTAGAGATTTAGGGTTGTTGATGGATGTAATGGCTTCTTGAAGGAATAAGAGAGAAAATACCTGGAATCACTCACAGGGTGCCTAGAACCACTCTAGGGCATGGGAATCACTCACCATAGCTAGCATAAGATGAAGAAAACTCAATATACTTCATCACCTTTCTGTAAAACGTCCATACATATTAATAGACTCTAAACTCATAATAATCTTAGGAGTCAAACTGTTAGATTTATAATAATCATAGGAGTCAAACTGTTAGACTCAATAATCCTAGTAGGACTCAAACTAAGTTGTCATATCCTATTTCAATTCAAAGAAGACTCAATAACTCTAATCCTACTTATGCAATGACTCTGAAATTTTAAACATAAACAAACTATCATTGGTGTTCAATTCAGTCCAAATCCCAAGTACCATCACTATGCCATATCAGGACCTGTTGTAAGGCCGCCTTCTTTCTAGAATAACTCTTCATGGGTGCTGATCGATTCCTATCATCTCTCCCTGGCTTGAAAGAACTCGACCCCGGCGAGTTAAAAGCATGGTACCTTTCATAAAGATCTGGGTTGAAACGATGAAAGTTTTAAGCAGTGATCCAAGAACTCTCAGACATAGGCTTGCCTTCCACTTGACAAGGAATTTTTTATACCCTCCTGTAGCAGTAGATAATGATTCCTCATCTAAAACATCCTCTAGAATGTCATTTGGAGCTGCAATAGTTGGCAATTTAGGTATAGCAGTCTTAAAAGAATTCACATGTCCATGGTAAGGAGTTAAGTCCTCAACATTGAAGATAGGACTAATTCCCATGTCATCTGACAACTCTAGAACATAGGCATTAGAACTTATCTTCTTGATGATTTTATAAGGACCGGCACTCTTTGAGTGGAGCTTCTTGTACAAACCTTTAGGAAGACGTTCTGGTCGTATACATACCATAACCATGTCTCCCTCTTGATAATTTGCCAACCGTCGATGAATATCAGCTCTAGCCTTGCATAAATCATTGCTCAATGTAATTTTTCTCTTAACATCATCATGTATTTCTCCTATGTGCCTATCAAATGATTCTGCTTCAGTTCTAGTACGTGTATCTGGTGGTAAGGTAACCAAGTCAATTGGCCGCTTAGGCTGAATACCAGTCACCACTTCAAATGGTCTTCTTCCTATGGATCTATTTACTGAGCTGTTATAAGCAAACTCAGCTATTAAAAGCACTAGATCCCATCTAGAAGTATGATCACCAACTAGACACCGTAAAAGATCTCCCAAGCTTCTATTTACTACCTTCAGTCTGACCATCTATTTAGGGGTGAAACGATGTAGAGAATTTCAGCTGAGTATTAAGTAATTTCCAAAGTGTCTTCCAAAAATAACTCATAAACTTGGTGTCCTGATCTGATATAATAATAAAAGGTACTCCATGAAGTCGAACCACTTATTTGAAAAATATGTGAAGCATCATGTGTTTTGTTGCAAGGTAAGAAATGAGCTATCTTGGAGAAACGATCCACCACAACATATATTGTATCGTGAACCCTAGTAGTCTTTGGGCAACCCAAGGACAATTTCCAGCTTAATGCTTAAGAACAAAGGTGTATTCTTGTAGGAATTAAACCCACTTCCCATGCCTATAGTTTAGTTTCTTTTAGGAATTCAAGTACTTTAAAACTTCATGATCTGAATAGAGCACAAACTCCTTGGATATTAAGTAGTGTCGCCAATGTCATAGAACTTGCACTACTCATATAACTATTTGTCGTAGGTTGAATATTTCTGCTTGGCTTCATTTAGTTTCTCACTTGAAATGCAATGGGATGGCCTTCTTGCATGAGAACCCCTCCAATTCTTACACCGGATGCATCACATGCCACTTCAAAGACTTTAGAAAAGTCTGGAAGTTGTAAAATAGGTGTCTCTGTCATTTTCTTCTTGATAGTCTCAAATGCCTTTCTTGCTGCCTTGGTCCAATTAAAACCTCTTTTCATTGCATATGTAATTGGAGCCATGATAGTGTTGAACCCCTTAATAAATCTTCTATAAAAAGTCGCTAGGCCATGGAAGCTTCTAACCTCTTGAAGATTGGTAGGTAAGGGCCATTCTAAGATAGACTTTACTTTCTCAGGATCAACACTTATGCCATCAACAGAAACAACAAACCCCAAAAATATAACTTTGGGTGACATGAAAGAGCATTTCTTTAAGTTGATGTAGAGTTTCTCTTAGCGTAAAACTCTCATCACTTGACATAGATGATCAATATGCTCTTCTGGACTATGGCTATATATAAGAATATCATCAAAATAAACTAGGAAACATCTTTTGTCTTAGGGCATTGGTTAGTCCAAATGGCATAACTAACCACTTGTATAAGCCATCTTTTGTCTTAAATGTTGTCTTCCACTCATCACCAAGCCTAATCCGTATTTGATGATAGCCACTCCTTAGAATGACCTTAGAAAAAATGGTTGCTCCAGTCCTCAAATCAAGCATGTCACCAAGCCTAGGAATCAGAAACCTATACTTGATAGTAATCTTGTTGATTGCTTTACTATTAATGCACATATGCCAAGAACCATCTTTCTTTGGAGTGAGATGAGTTTGAACAGCACATGGACTAAGGCTTTCTCTAATAAAACCTTTCTTTAGGAGGTCATCAACTTGTCGTTTAAGTTCAGCTTGCTCTATAGGATTCATACGATAAACTGGTAAGTTGGGCAATTGTGACCTTGGCTACAAGTCAATAGCATGTTAAATGTCTCTCATGGGAGGTAACTCATTAGGTAGCTCTTTTGGTATGAAATCTGAAAACTCATCCAACACTTGGACCACTTCTTTAGGCATTTCAATAGGTGGAACAACATCCGGTTGCTTTACCTCCTTGGATATTACAACATATACAACTCATGTCTCCTTCCTTTCTACTTCAAACTCTTTTTTGGAGAGCAAATGCAATGGTTTTTTCTTAGATTCAGCAACAGGCCCTTGGGCTGTAGTCTCCTTTTGAGGTGGCCTGGCATGCCTTTTAATAACTTCCAGTGACATTGGCTTCATGATAACTCGCTTCCCATTAAACAGGAAGTGATAGGTGTTCTCCCTTCCACAATGGAAGATATCCCATCATACAACCAAGTCTTTCCAAGCAACATGTGTGTAACACATTCATAGGAACAATGTCACACCAAATAGAATCAAAATAACTACCATAAGAAATAGTAATAAGGGCTCGTTTAGTTACCAGAATTGTTGCTGTAATGATTCATGGAGAGTGGGAGAGAGAGAGAGAGAGAGAAGAAAAAGAGAGTTACGATTGAGAGGAAAAAGATCCTATTGGCCGCCGCCAGTCTTCTATTTATATTAACTTAATAAAGGAATAGAAATTACAAGTATGCCCCTGGCGGCACACCCTAGAACCAAAAATAATACGAAAAAAAGACAACTAACTGATAGTATCCTAAGAAGTCAGCCTACTAACAGCAGCTATAAAGTAACAATTAAATAAGCCTTACAACACTCCCCCTCAAGTTAGGCTGAATATGTCTATCATGCCCAGCTTGTCACATAACTCATTGTGCCGCAAGCATGGAAGCCCCTTTGTGAGGACATCAGCAAATTGTTCCTTGGAGTTGACATAAGGAATGCAAATTTCCCTTTTTTCCAATTTTTCCCTTATGAAGTGTTTGTCCACCTCAATGTGCTTGGTCCTCTCATGTAGGACAGGGTTGCTGGCGATGTTTATTGCAGCCTTGTTGTCACAGTAAAGGGACATAGGACTATGAACAACAACTCCAAKCTCYCSTAGAAGRTTCTTTARCCAAAGRACTTCAGCCACCCCATGTGCCATAGCTCTATATTCAGCTTCAGCACTTGACCTTGCTACCACACTTTGTTTCTATATTTTCCAAATCACTAGGTTTCCTCCCACAAATGTGCAATACCCACTCATGGACTTTTTGTCATCCACAGCACCTGCCCAATCAGCATCTGTAAAGACTTCCACCTTTAGGTGATTATGTTTACTRAATAGTAKACCTGTTCYRRGATACTTTTTCAAGTATCTAAGAACTCTCTCTTCTACCTCCATGTGTGGTTTCTTAGGAGAGTGCATGAATTGGCTTAGAACCCCAACTGAATAGGCAATGTCTGGATGGGTCATGGACAAAAAAATCAGCTTTCCCACTAACCTTTGGAACTGTTTCACATATTCCAAAGGTTCACCAACATAGTCACCTAACTTGTGGTCCGCATCCATAGAGTACCTGTCAGCCTTGCACCTAATTTGCCTGTATCTTGTAATAGATCAAGGGTGTATTTCCTTTGAGAGATAAAGATACCCTTTTCTTAGCGGGCAACTTCAATCCCAAGGAAATACTTCAGGGGGCCTAGATCTTTCACTTCAAATTTAAATGCAAGGAATTGTTTCAAGTTCTGTATCTCTGAGCTCCAACTTCCTGTAATGATGATATCATCCACATACACTATCAATACAACAACCCGTTTGTTGAACTGCCATGTGAAACTTACTGAACCAGGCTCTGGGAGACTGTTTTAAGCCATAAAGAGACTTTYGCAKCTTGCACACCTTATTTTCACTCCCCTTGGCACAGAATCCAGGGGGTTGAACCATGTATACTTCWTCCTCTAAGTCACCATTCAGAAAAGCATTCTTTATGTCCAGTTGATGCAATTC